GCACAGTGCGGGGCAGCGCTGGGAACCGCAGGGTACGGGGGGCTGTAGGCTCCGTTTGCATAGGGAGAATCCATTGCCTGGGGAGGAGAGAAGAGCAGAGGACATGGACACGGGGCAGAGGGGCTCCAGTCCAGCCCAGCAGCAGCCTGGGGAAAAAGGACTGGCCTTCCTGGAGCGTTTAGACAGGGGTTCCTTTGTCCCCAAGCTCTTTTGCCCCAGTTTTAGGTTTTCCTGCCCTAACGTGGCTTTCTGTTGCCACTGGCCATAAACACCCGTCTGCCTCACGCTTTGGTCCCACCGCCCTCGCAGCACGCTCAGGGAGATGGGCACTGGCGGTGGCAAAGACGGGGCGTTACAGGGGAACAGATTTGTCTGGAGGGTGGGAAGAGCTTCACTGAGCTAAGCTTGCTCAGAAACACGTGTGCGACTCCTCGCAGCAAGCAGCTCTTGGGAGATTCAACCATGTCAACATAGTCACCGACTCGTGGATGAAAAACACTCCAGGGAAGTTCATGTCCTCTCTCAGTCTGCAAACAAACGAGGCAAGCGGACGAGATCTACCAGTTCTGGGGCCCGAGGAGCGGGGCATTCGGCTCCGCAAGCCGCCCGTCGCGCTGCAGCCGTGGAGCCGTGGGGCTGCAGAACTGGTCGTGTGAAAGGTCTGCACGCCCAGACTGTTGGTGAGATTTGTCTGAGTACGTTCAAGCAACCAGCGCGGATCCAACGGGAGCGTCCACCGAGCCACAGGGGCGACAGTCAAGCGTCAGGGTTTCGGGAGCTCACGGGTGACTCCCTGTAGCTTTGGGCAAAGCAGTTTTTTTGCCCACAACTGTCTCACGGAAGAGAGACCATTATCACCTGCAGGCCGGGATTTATGAAAGAGCCAGAGCGAACCTACGTGTCCCCTGGGATTAAAACAAACCAGAGTTTTGTCTGGGCAGCAGACAACCGCTGTGCACAGAGCAAAGCCTTTCTCTGCGCACGGCATTTGCACAACGGCCCTGAGAAAAGGCCCTTGCTGCAATAAACCAACAAATAACAGATCCAGGAGGAGCAGCTCACGGGACTGGGGCACGCTGGGACCAGCGACGCTTTTTTCCCCATCTCTGCCCCACGCTGCCGCCAGCTCCTTTCCGCGGGTGGGCCTGTCGTACAAACGCCACCACCCGTGGGGCTGGGGTCTTCGGTCTGCCGGGGGGCAGGTGGCGGGGAGTGGGTCCTCAAGCCCCACACTCTGTCGTTCCATCTGTTGGCACCGGGCCGGTTAGCTGGGACACGTCCTGGCCCAGCTCTCACCAGTCCGCTCGGCACCAGTCCAACCAGGGACGGCGGCGGTTCCCCGGTGAGCTCTCCGTGACAACACCTGCCCTAGAAACGCCACCTTGAACCGCAGACGAAGGTGGGACTTCACTGCGTTCATCATTTCACACGTTTTCCCCCAGTTTGACGCCTGCCCAGACCCCGCGGGACTGGGGAGCGGGTTTGCACTGCAGACGGGCCCTACGAGCGCTGGGAACAATC